GATAAAATGGTTCAAAAGATCACTTGAAAGCCAACGGTTCCCTACAAGAAATTTCAGGCTAGACACTGGAAGATGAAGAGAATCCATAATTTGATCATTGGATGACTCATAAATAAGGTCAATAAACCTCTTAATTACCCCTACATTAAGATCTGCCAAGCCAACTGGACGCCTAGAAAGGAAAGTTGCCTTCTGCAGCCATGCCTTCTCCTCCAGCATCTCTTTTAACCTCATGCAGCCTTTAGCACATTTCTTTCTCTAAATATCACAAAAAAGAAGGAACATTTCTTTAAGTCGAAGTATTTGCTGCGTAAAGTCTGCCTTTAACTAAAAAAATTTACTATGTGAATAGTAAAAATGTCATTTATGGAAATGCCCAAAAATGCTTCCTGCTTAGTTTGAAACATAAACGAGCCAACTTCTCTATACCAACCTGGATTCAAACATTTTAAATGAACATATACATGAGGCATTTCTAGTTATATAAATGAAGTTGGCCATACCTTTTTTTCATTCACAGATGCCAATGGACCAGATGCAGCATCTATTCTTTCTGCCTCTTTAAATTAAAAATTTAATAAGTTGATAAGACCAAAAGTATACTGTTGGCTTAAAGGAATATCGGTTAGGGTAAATTATTAACTTGTGATATGTTACTTTTTCGCGTTGTGGAACTACAATTGGAAACTGTACTTACCTCCGCAAGATAACTCGTCCAAAGGAGAATCGCTGTATTCCTTCGATGAGAAATAACTTCATCAACATCTAAAACTATTTGTATAGAGAGGATTGGATAAAAGAGGTTTATGCGCTAGATTATTTTTCAATGCAATGAACAGTGAATAAATTTCAAGGATGTTTTATAACAAAATAAATATTCAATCGGATTTCAGGTATAATTGTCCGTCACTCTTAAACATTTACACAAAGCGATGTAAAGTGAATCAATTTTGACCCTCAATCATTGAAGCTAATAAGCGGATACTACCTTCATGTACAAGAAGTGCATCCATAACTTTCAGCTGTATCAGGCAAAGAAAATTCCAAGAGGAAAAGTGTAAAATAATGGATTTCGAAAAGAGTGGTCCTTACCTTGAAAATCTGATGCTTAAAGACATAGAAAGTACAACTTGTGGGTCATTTTACCGAATTTATTCGAAAGCAATTTGCAGTTTGATTAAATACAAATTGATGATGAGCAAGTACAAATGCAAACAACAAAGAATTTGTCATGTTACCAATGTATAGCAGGCAATCCATCGTGATCCTGCAGCTGCCTTCAATTTGGTTACTGCTATAAAACACTTGTTTGTAAGAATTGGGATGCAGATTCAACTTTGAAACTGTTCACACATTTTGGGCATGGCCAAGTTTGTTCGCAATAATTTGTTTGCAAACATTTTTAATCAAATGTATAATGATGTTACAACAAATAAATGATCGTGTAGACGGACATCAATACCCTTTATTTGAGAACAACTTCTAGAACTCTTCTCACCTGTTTTCTGTCTGTCCCTGCTTTTCCGTTTTCTCTCTCTCCTCGCAACTGCCAAATAGGAGTATACGTTCACATAAGATTATTCTCTTCATGTTTTTATCTTATGCCGTATAGTTAGAAAGTACAAAATGAGCTTGGTATGGACGGAATATGAAGAATTCAGTTTAGATGGAGAAGATGCCAAGCAATACTGCTACTGAAAGAACAACCGCTTCGCCTTTTCTTTTTTCTGCTTTCCTTGTCATCCAGACACTTATCCTACGAAATAAATAAACTTCTAGTTAAAATGACCATGTTCTAAAGTGTTATTTCTTAGAATAAATATTGACAACACAATGCTTACAACAATTAGAAGATAATAGTAAATCACTGAATCTTACGTTTCATTCGCACCTCTTTGCAGTAGCCTTCCATCCACTTCCAGTGTACCTGCATATTCTCGAAAAAACTAGCAAAGGTGGCCATTTCAAATGCCTGTGTTTTGGGAGCAGAGCTGTGAAAAAAGGGAGATTATTTTTTTGAAATGAGCAAATGAAAAATATCACCAAAATTTTGCAATGAACCACAAATGTTACAAATTATATATTTATTACCGACCAGCTTTCCTGAATGCATTCAGTTTAGAAGTTGAACTCTCTATGAAATCTTTTGGAGTTGAACACTGTTGTAATCACAATTTACAGCAACTCTGCACATCTTCTAAGGGACATTGATCAACCTTACCTATCCCCAGCAAATCTTAAATTGCATGCAGATGCCATCCATGCAAAGGGGGCTGCCTTAGAAAATTGTTGAGGTTTTGTAAATGGCACTGTCAGGGCAATGGGCACAAAAGAATCCATGCATTGAAGTTTCAATCAGTTGTGGTTAGGAATGGCCTTATTGCAAAACTTTTTGGGCCCGTTGAAGGATGCAGGCACGACAGTCGTATGCTCGCTATGTCAAGGTATAAGGCCAACTTGAACAGCACTTTTTCACTGAAGAAGGACAGCCCCTTTGCATATATGGTGATCCTGCCTATCAGGGGCGGGTCCAGACAAAAATTTGACATTCTCAAAAATCATTATAACCGACTGACCATGCCCATTTCCCGGAAACGCCCAAGAAATTGTTTTCTTTCTTTGATGGATGCAATGATTAAAATTACCTACAAGCTTTCCTGGATGCATTCAGTTTGAGAGTTGAACTGTCTATAAAATCTTCAGGCATGGTCAACTTTGTTCGCAATAGTTGCTACATGACCGAAAATTTGTTTGCAAAAATTTTCAATCAAATGTATAATGATGTTACAACAAATGTATGATCGTTTAGACGGACATCAATACCCTTTATTTGACTAAAATTTCTAGAACTCTTCTCATCTGTTTTCTGTCTGTCCCTGCTTTTCCGTTTTCTCTCTCTCCTAGAAACTGCCAAATAGGAGTATTTGTTTATGTAAAATTTTTCTATTCATGTTTTTATTTTATGTTGTAGATGACAGAAAGCGCGGAAGATGAGTGAACTAAAAAAAATAAAACCATTGTTACGAATTGATTTTGAAAATGTAATATCGTAACAAGAGTGTTGTTGCAGAATATGTTGAGAAAATGGATTGGCTTCTAATCATATATTCCAAGCCCCATTTAAACACAATCTAGATTTTCAAAAGAAAGCTTTTAAAAATTTAAATTTACGATGACAAAACAGAATAAATTTGCATAACAATAGCTTGCGATCATTTATGCGCCATTTCTCCCCTATCAAAGTGGTGTGATACTTTCGATACCCTAGTGTAAATGTGAATTTGTTTCAATATCCAAGTAATATAATGTGCATATTCTTCATTTTTGTTACTGAATCAGGAGAATTATTTTATTGAAATTTGAACGCTGCAGTACTCAAACCTTAACAATATAGGTAGGCCTGATTCCATCATTAAAACAAATTATAAATTGTTTTAAACCACTAAAAAACACGACTCACCTGCTTGACTTGATGAGTTTCAAGTTTTCAGATGCGTTTCTTGATGCCTTTCAACCCACTTAAATAATTGTGCATTAAAATCACCTTGTTAATATTTTGATGTTTGGAAATTCCGGCATTGTTACTATACTTTTCATCTACCAGTGAAAGCCCCATAGATAAAATATAATATGACACTTTCATATTATATTATTGCGAAGCCTCAAATATGTCTCAAATTGAGAAAGCAAAACTAAGAGGAGTTGAGCACCCGAAGGGCTCAGACCGCAAACTGAAATGATCTTCAGGCCCATCTGAGTTTCAGACCAGCTGTGCACCGTGTTTAACACTGTTGTAAACACTATTTACAACAACTCAGCACATCTTCTAAAGGACATTGATCAACCTTACCTATCCCCAGCAAATCTTAAATTGCATGCAGATGCCATTCATGCAAAGGGGGCAGCCTTAGAAAATTGCTGGGGTCTTGTAGACGGCACTGTCAGGGCAATGGGCACCAAAGAGTCCATGCATTGAAGTTTCAATCAGTTGCGGCTACGAATGGCCTCATTGCCAATCTTTTTGGGCCCGTTGAAGGATGCAGGCACGACAGTGGTATGCTTGCTATGTCAAGGTATAAGGCCAATTTGAACAGCCACTAAAGAAGAACAGCCCCTTTGCACATATGGTGATCCTGCCTATCCAAACAGGGTTCACCTGCAATGTCCTATGATAAGAAGGGGACCTTTAACAGAAGACTAACAAGTCTTTAATACCTCAATTAGTAGGGTTCGTGTTGCTGTTGAATGGGTGTTGGGGACATTTCAAACTATTTTAAGTTAATAGATTTTAAGAAAAACCTCCAAATTGGAATGAGTGCTGTTGGGAAAATCTGTTTGTGCCCTTTTAAGAAATGCCCTGACATGTTTATATAGCTCTACAACATCAAGCTTCTTCAATGTTAAACCTCCAAACATTGATGATTATTTTAGGTAACGTTGATTCTCGAGATATCAACAAAGATTCTGGCAGAGGAGACAAATTCATCTAACTCATCTTCACAAGACAACAGAAACGACTTTTGTAAAAGCCACCAATAGTACCAAGACCTGTACACACACAACAAGTCATGGCATTGTTTAAGGCAACTTTTCAAATCATTAAAACCGAAAAACATTGTAAAAATTTTACAAGGGGGCCTATATCCCTATTATATATCTTCATCAGTACCCATAACAAATTAAAATAAGTGGTAATTCAATGGTCATAAAATGTAGAAAAAATGAAGCACATTCCACAGCAGATAAGTCAATTGTAAGTACCCAAGGCCAAAGTGTGATATTTTAAAAATATTGCAAATCAATAGCCACAAAAATGTATCATTATAATAACCAATGTTGTCTGTTTGAGTTATTTTCCAAATAGGACTTATCTGAAAAATGTTTTTGTACAATGATTTAAATTGCAAATTAAACATAGTTGATAGAAAAAAACTGAAAGGTTCCACCAACTCAAGCTTAGCCTAAATGTTCAATGATTTTGTGTTGTTACTTGATTATAGAGTCAAAATCTATGTTGTGCAGCCAAGTAAATTAGATTGCCACTGCAAATTTTAACATCGAAAATCATTTCAAGTTACACTAAAGCAAAGTTTAAAGATATTTCATTTTGTTCATGTTTCATGATTCGCCTTTTGAAGGATGTTTCATGGTTCTCCTTTTGGTAAAACATTTTTTTAATTAAGAAATCATGTCAAATCTAGTTCTGTATTTACCTTTGAAAATATATCTGAGTACATAAAAGTGGGATGAAACTGAATAACAAATCACCATAATTTTTGCGACATTGAGAAACTACTTATTTTTTTGCAATTAATGATAAAGAAACTACTAATGACTTATTGTAATCACAGCATAAATTTATGGAAATTTAGAATAGGCAACAGCATTTATCAGCATTTTACTAGATTTAAATGCACATAAATTTTTCTGAGTTCCCAATAGGATAATTGTATGCCATAAGGCAGGTTACAAAAGTTCGAATCATTTTTCTGTACCAGGCAAAAGTAAAAGTTACACATGACTAATTTTTCAGCAATCCATATCTGCACATTTTGCTGAGAAATTGACTGAAGAGTAACTGCTGTTGCTAAATCAAATTAAGTAGTCTGGTTTCTCTCTTCTCCATGATTAGAGGTTCCTTCCTTTTATCTTCCCTTTCCCTTTTTTTAAATGACAACTCCTGTTTTTTAGCTCATAATTTTGCTCTTGTTCCTTTTCTTTCAACCTCAATTCTTTTTCTCGTAGATCTACTTCAGCCTTCCTCAAATTTACTTCCTCATCGTGCCTTACTTCCAAATTTACTGCTGTATCCACTCTTCTTTCTCTTCTATTCTTCTAAACTCCACCTTCAGATGTATCCTTGTCCCTACTTCCTCCAATACTTTCCATTGCCTTCTTTCTAATGTTCTCTGCTGCTTCTCTCTCTCTCCACCTCTTTTCACCTATGCCTCTATCACCTTGTGAAAATTCTTCCTCTTCTCCCTCCATTCTCCCATTTATAGACTCAATAGCCCCATCTAGTTCAGAAATTTTCTTATTTATCCCACTTGCCCTCTCCCCTTCAGTCTTTTTGCTCTTCGTTGTATCGAAGATTGGCACTGGCTTAGCTGGTTACTCGTATTGTGAACATAAATCGAAAGTGATTCCATCCTTTCCATTAAGCTTTCATCCATTCTAATTGAGATGAGAAAACTAATTAAGTGACTAAAATGTGTCTTCGCGTAATTGAATCATGAAATGAGTTCTATTTGTAAGGAAGCTACCTATACCTGATTACCACCTAAAAACTTATGCATAAATTTGCTTCATGGTCCATGAACAATTCCAGACGATTTGCAAGTAAAGTTTGCCATCACACCACAGCCTTATTTCATCATAGTCAAGTTTTTCCCTCAAATAATATAAAAGATTGAAAAAAAAATAAAATGTCAGCTATGTTATGCTGATTTTTCACTTGAAGCTGGTTGTGGCACTTGTAGAGGAATGAAATAAAGTCAGACTATTTCTTTGGGGTATTTGTAAGTAAGAAATTTTAAGCACTTCCTCAAACACAAGGCTCAACATGCCACATGTAACCTGGGTTATGTTAGTATATGGCAGTAAATTCGGAGAAAATTACTAACTTAAACCTGTAGCAAAAGAAATATCCCTTCCATAATGCTAGTTGCGTTACTGCCATAATTTTGGCTAATCTCTTTTTTGGAGATTGATAAAATGATCTACGACTATATGTCCATGGACATAGAAGTAAGGGTGCCCAGTGGCCATGAAGGCCAGTTTGCCAATTATTTAAAACTGCCCCCTTATTAAGAGAAAGTGTCAATTGCACCAGGAAGAGCACCATTTTTGCCGGAAGAGGTAGCAATTTTGTCCAGAAAGTGCAATTTTGTTCTTTTTTTGGCGGTGGTTTCCCCCCGTCGTTTCCCTGTGCATCTTGTGTAAATTGTTGCTTTCTCTTTAAAAAAATTATAGAAAACAATCAATACATTGCTCTGTTGGAAAGTGGAAATTGAAAAGTGGAATAAAGAGATTTGAAAATTTGAAATACTACATAAAGGTGCGGAAAACATAACAATATCCTTACCTGGTTCAAAGTATTATCAAACCATTATCTTTTGTGAAGACAAACTGTTGGTTTCTTGGAATCCCAAATTTGCAGGCAACCCTCACCTTAAAGGAGCGAAGCTCTTCTTCCTTTCGCCAAGATATCCTCTGCAAAAAAAATACAGAGAATAAATTTATTAGATAGTCGAGATTTCCTCTCTTGCAGACTAAATCAATTGAGTCATAGATTGAATTGTTGTTTGCGACTTCCTGTGGGCACAACAGATCCTCATTTAACCTACATGAACACATCATTTGAAATTGGAAAGGCATGAAAAATAAGAAGCATCAGAAAAATATATTTGTTACCTTGGAAAAATATATTTCTTCATATCAACAAATTATATTGGTAATCATAATAATCGTGCCATTTTTCTTTTTTTACATTTTAAAATTATTTATGCACGGTAGCCCTGTCAGTCATGACTGATTTTCAGAGATCATTCCAGATTTTTGTTCCAAGAAATGCGAATACTTTCTTTCCATCACTAGTTTTCATGAATGGCACTAGCAAGTCAGTTTCGGCATTTCTAAGGTTGATAATGTTGCGTTCAGAATTTCTAACAAATAAATGCGAGAGATAATCAGGTTCGAGACTATTAACAGATTTATATACAGTTGTTGCAGTCTCACTTCTGATCATATCCCTCACAGTTGGCCATTTTAACTCTGTAATCAAAGCTTCAGCAGGAGCATCGTAGTTTTATTGCAATAAATGTTTTATATGCCTTAGTTTTATTGCAATAAATGATGTTTACAAAGTGGCTCATGCTGATTCTTTTGTTGTATCCTTCTTTACCCAGGTGCAAATTGATAGATAATGTAAAGAAAGTACGATCTTTTTGCTTGTCATCCATGGTGTACTGGAGGGGAACAGGAACCGATTCACCATCAAAATACATTGGAAATAAGAAAAGGAGGAATCAAAAAGTGACCTTAAGAGATCAGTTTTTGCTTGTCCTTATGAGATTTCGACTGGGTTTCATGAATGAGGAACTAGCAGCCAGATTCAGAATCTCGCCTGGTGTATGTTCAAATATATTCACCATCTGGATGCTGTCAGCTCTCGATGAAAAAGACAAGAATGGTTGCAAATTTGAGGATTCATGTTGAAAGAGCCATCAACAAAATAAAAGAATTCAAAATTATAAAAAACCTTATGCCTATAAACATGTTACCTCTAGCAGATGACATTATGCATGCGTGTGCTACTTTATGCAACATTCAGCCCCCACTGATTAAAATAAAAGAAAACAAGTGAATTAAAGATATCTCTCTCACTACAGTAGATCAGTAGATGTTTTAGCTACTCAAGAAAAAACTCAGTTCAGTTTTGTGTCTGTTCTATCCATGCCTCTTTATTGTAATAAGAAACTTTGGTAAATGCAATCAACAAAAATGCTATTTGTCGTGCATGCAGGAATCCAAAGGCACTGTTAAGTCTATTTCTCATGTAATTTACTTAGTTTCTGCAACCATGGTACATGGGACATATGGTTCAGGTAATGTGAAATTTTCCAGGCTAAATGGTTATCACACACCTTGAAAAGTTAAGGCATGTGATGTTGTGTTATCCCTAAAAGGTAGTCCTTTAAACTTTTAACTATAAAATATCAATGTAAAAATGTTTTGGGGGTGTTTCACTGTTTGAAAATAGTGTTTGAAGTTTTTATAAACCAAAGAAATTTTACTGAATTTTAGAAAACTTTCATGAAAACAAAAAATTTCAGCAAAATCCCTACAAGATTTTAAAAGAGTGAACGAGTCTCCTCTGCCTCCCAGAAATGATATCAAGATAAAACACACTAAAGAAATTAAACATATTTGAATTTTAGAAATACAACTACAAATTCCTTTCAAACTAGCTAGCCGCATAGCAGAAGTCTTTATCATGTTTAAAAAGAAAATTCAATCATAAATTTGGCTACATAAAGGCCCTAAAGAGCATAGAAGATGTCTGTTTATGACATACTTTGTAAAGAAGCACAAGAAGAAAAAAGAATAGGAAGCCAAAAGACAGTCAGACATTAAAAATTTAGTCAAAATATCGCTCTGCACATGCAGTAAAAGAATACTTTGGGACTGTTAGGTGTGTGTGAAGGTTGAGTGTAGTTACAATAATGATCCCCACCCATAAACTCATCATTATTTTCATGTACATTTTTTTAATTGAGCGTAATATCAGCGGTATAACCTCTAATATGTTTAGATGGAGCAGAGCAGACCTGCCTGACTTTTACAACAGTGTATTCATTCTCAAATGAAATATCATGTCCAAAGCTGCCACCAAAATCCAATTAAAGCTTATGCAATAAAGTTCATGGATACATGCAACACGCAAAACAGTAAATGGACTGAGGCAAATAGTTGTGTAAAGTTACTTAACCTTATTCATTAAACAGATATGGAACATAATAGTTAATGTAAAAGTCCTCCAAAGTGTGTTTTAACTGCAACCAGTTCATCTTGTCAAACTAAGCTTCTCAAGAAAGCTGACATGACATGTCGATAATCCAACTGAAGCCGTTTGCACTTGACATTGTGTGAAATATTTATGGTTTTTTGTCAAAACTTTTTGTCATCTATGGTCTTCAGAAATGGTCTGACCACGAAAGTCATATCTCACTACAGGAACACCTAGGTTCAAATCTTTCCCAGAAGTTTTATCAAATATTGTTAGAAGATTTACTTCACTGGCATCCTTGGCTCTTTGTAATGTTGCACATCTAGCTTTAACACTGTGTGCTTTAGAGGCAGTAATAACATGCTTTCTAAATAGATTCCAATTTGTGTTTTCATGTTGACCTCTGGTTATCCAAGCGTCCCAAAGAATCTTACCATTAAGAAGTGAGCAATAAGCAATTAAGCATTAAGCTTGTGTGAACACTCACAGCTTCTGCTCCTTGCGGTACCTGAGAATCAACTTTGGCAAGGCAGTAAGCAAGATAGAATCAGTCTCTTTGCCAACTTTTTTCAAGCAGCAGCAAAATCTTCGAAGGTTAGCATGTAAGTGCTCTTTGCTATTGGAATAAAATTTCTCTTCTTAGCTGTGTTTAAGTCTGCCTGCTTTTTTCCTCGTTTGCAAAAATCTTCTCTTTTCAACTTCAAAACTGTTATTCAAACCCCTTCTCCAAGCTGACCCAACATGGAAGAGAGCAGCAGCTACATTATTGCATGTCTGAGACATGCCAGCCATACAAGTACAATGAGTTACTAGTATTTTACCAGTCTCTTTACAGAGACAGTTAGTTTGTATGTAGTGTCATTTGTTCTCTGTGAGGGTCTACTTCAAAAGTGTTAACCATCCTTGTGATAAATGGCAGTAAGTTTTTGAAGTTTTGTAGTCCCTGAAATCAGAACTAGCAATCTCATTAGGAAGGAAAGCTAAAAAGTTGAATATGTCTGGGTAAAGAGTGATTGGCCAGTACCTTACCCTATCTTCCTCACTTAGCCATCCTTGGTCAAGCTTTTGAACTGGTTTTGAAGGTTGTGTTTTTGTGAACTGTTGGCGGGACTTCCAAGAGTTGTTGGATAGGCCTTGGTAGTTTAAATAGCTTTGTGAGTGCTGTTGATGGGTGTTGAACTGGTAGTGTCGAGGTGGTGATTTGGAGATTGTTGCAGATGGCATACGCAAGGAAGCCAACAGCCGCATTATTTCTTGTGAAGATGAGATGGTTTTGGGCAGCTTCGAGGACATTGTCACCAAAAAGGCAGTTAGTTATCAGAGTTTTTGAGCTGCACAATGAGTGGAAACGTGGATTTATGGCGGATTTTAGTAAATCTTGTCTTCAGAAGGCTGATTAAAGAAGGGCGTTACCCAATAACGCAACTGATGCATCAATTTTTTCATTAAGCTCCTTGAAAAGAAGATAAAACTCATCCATGCTGGAATTGAATTACAAAAGTGTTTGCTTAACATCAACCACCCCTGTCATGCCCTTAGCAAGTAAAAATTGGGCATTTTGAAGACTCTCATCATGCTCCTTTAGTTCCTTGGGAAGCTGAGCCAAGAGATTTGGGTTAATTGTAGGCAAACTGAGTGCCAGGCATTTTTCAGGACGCCTAAAGCTGTCTTTTAACTTTGCAAGCTCTGTGTTAAGGATTCGCTTACGGCAACAATCCTCAACATATTTTGCATACTCCGTAGAAATATTAGGACCATGAACCTCATCCTCTACAAATTGGAGCTTCGAGGAATCTTGACATTCTTGTTGAAGAGCAGCCACAATTCCCATGTCAAAATTTTGACAAAAAGAGATGAAAGTACCCTCTCTTGATTCCAGGGAGAAATTACTTCTCGCTGTCCGTGATGTGGGCTTATGCGCCATTGGCATGCCCACATCCAGAGACCCAGTAGGATCTTGAAAAGTGGAGAACTGATCTCCGAGGGGAAGGATAGCAAACTGATTGCCAGTTTTTTTTGATTTGTTCAAAAATCAAAAACCAAACAATTTTCACGCGTTCTTTTGACATAAGCAGTCTTTTCACAAATGTTTCTTTGAGTCGTCCGTCAAAATATGCGTCAATGCTTTGTACCAAAGCGAGTCTACCTTGGCAGTCTATCTTGACAGCAACAATATAGGAAAATGGCTAACACTTGAGAATGGCTTAAGTTTGAAGCTTAAAATAATTGTCTTTTCTTCTCTTTCAATGATCCTATAAGCCTAGCAGCTGCTTCATTCATTATGTTTTCACATACTTGTACTGCCACTTCCTCAAGATTCTTCTACTGTTTGTTGTAAGCTGACTTTGATACAGAGTTTGGAAGACTCAAAATGCCACAAAATCTCTCCAGCCCAGCACATCCAGTTTCCAGTGAAGCAACAACTGATCTACAGTTTATTTCATATGTCGTCTGTCCCCCTTTCTTGTCTGCCTTCTTAGATCCACTGAGCTTTTCACTGGTCTCAAGTGGTGTACTTGTGTGACAATGGCTACATGTAAGAACAAATTTCTCTGCCAGACCAAACTTATTGCTAAGCAGCAGACTTAACTGTGCCTTTGGATTCCTGCATGCACGACAAATAGCATTTTTATTGATTGCATTTACCAAAGTTTCTTATCCTTAAGGCCATTGTCATCGTCATCATCAGCACTGCCAATATTGCTACTGCCAGCACCCTTCGTTTCTTTTGATCCGGAAATAGATCTTGTTATTGAAGCAAGATTGTCTGAATCAAAGGAAGACTTCAGAAGTTTATGAAATGAAGCACTGTGTTCTCTGATTTTTTGCTTTGATCTGTTGTTGCTTGTGAAGACGAGGCAGGCAGTCCATCTTCATCAACTTGGCCTTGGCCTATGTAATTCAAATCCATGTCATTGTTTTGAATACATAGTCTTTTTCTACTCCCAGCAAATCCTTTTCTTTTCTTCCGTTTTACAGATATAGATTTTCGATTAAAAACTCTCTGTTCAGGGCGTTCATTGTTGAATAAATTTGCTTCATAAACAGAAGGGCTCTTTGAACAACTGTCCTTGGCCATGCCAAACAGAAACCATGCTTCATTTGTTCTCTGTGCTTAATAAAGTGGTATAAATGCATTTTGGGATATGGTACAAGACCATAGATTGCATAATAATTTTTATTTTGCAAAAAGGGGTCCTATGGGTGTCAACAGACCCCTGGCAACTGAAAGAAACATGGTTGCTAAGGACAGATGATCAAACCAGTGCATAAATAAATCAAAAAATGTTTGCAATAACTGCCACAGTTACTGGAAAACTACCTTCAAAATCAAATTTTGCGGTAATCTTTCTGATTAGATCCAAAGAAATAAAATTTTTGAATAACTCCTATTTTGAATAATTTCCAAAGAAATGAAAGAAAATAACTCCTTGCCATTTCCAGATGTTTTGGTTGAAGCCCTGGATTTCCTACCAGTGTATACCATAAACTTTCAAAATCCATTTTCCACTTTCTGTAAACAGGCTGTATTTTGTACTTTTCTCCCCCTAATCTTCGTAAAAAGAAGAAGATATTGTTTTTCTTTTTTAGTTCTGGTAAATGTTCCAAAGCTGTTACATAGTCATAAATCTTAAAAAGATTGTTTAGTAGACCAGAGGGTGGAAGGGGAGGACCTGAGTGGAGAATTTATGAGAACAACACATTCTGTATCAGTTTTTTGCGTAGATTTCGAATTGGGGTGTTGATCAACGGTTGATACTTATGTGTGCACATAAGCCTTGATGCTGGAGCTGCTCAAAACTTTAACCATGCTGCATGGAACATTCAGTTTCAGTTTTCAGTTTTTATTTAACAAATATACCTAAGTACATTCCAATAAAATTACTAAAATTCCCTAAATTAAAATAAATCAGAAAATATACTACACAACAACAAGGGATCCAGACATCCGAATTCCTTTCGATTACCTGTAATGGACGCCAATCTTGAAGATCTTTTCGTGGAAGCTAGCGGCGACAATGAAAGTTCTACGGATTTACGAGGGAGGAATTAGGTAGGAGTCAGCAGGAAAATGATGACGATATATCTGTGGGGAAAATCTCAAGTGAAGATGGAGAGGATGATGATGAAACAGCAGAGTGGCCTGATGTAGAGGTTGCCGAGTGGAATGATGTTTTGCAGCCTGTTTTAATCTCGCCATTCAACCAGGAAACAGGACCTACACAAGAGCTTTAGGAAACATTGAAAAAAATTGACTTTTTTCATCTCTTATTTGAGAAAAACATTTACGGAAGGTTGGCAAAACAAACAAATAGATACGCCCAGCAGTTAAAGACTGAGCGTGACATTGACAAGTCTTGGCAGCCAACAACCCTGGACAAAATCCAAACATTTGTTGGAATGCGGGTCTACATGTCAGTAGTAGACATACCAGAGCTTCGAATGTACTGGTCAGAAGACAAAGTTTTTGGGAATTTCGGAATTTCTGAAGTTATGCCCAGACTGCGCTTCAAGAAACTCTGCCAGTATTTTCATGCAAATGATCGCGCAGGGTACAACAGGCAAGACCCCAATTAGGCCTATCCTTGATTTGGTGCTTGCTGCTTGCTTGAACAGCTATCATCCACACAGGGAAATTGCAGTTGTTGAAGCCATGACAAAGTTTTGTGGTTCACTTGGCTTCAGACAACACATGCCAGCAAAGTGAACAAAATATGGTATAAAGGTTTGGGCCCGTGCAGACGGTTCAAATGGTTATGTCAGCGAGTTCCAAGTGTATTTTGGGAGACCAGCTGGTGGCCAATTGGAAGTGTAGTGTAGTGGAATTCCTTAGTGTAGCAAAACTTTAACTATAAGGGCAAACAAAAGAATAAAATCAGTCGCAATTAGATCATGTTTATCATGGTGGATCAAGAAATTCCACTTATTTGTGACATACTATAATTACCTGATGTCTATAATGAAGAATAAATCAGCTTAGAAGAATTTTGAACAATTTATTCCTTTTTCAATGTCTAATTCCACTAAATGTGCCATGCAACCCAAATTCCTGACAACTGTGTTAAAATTGCTCATTAACTTTCAAATAAATCCCATTTAGTTGCTTCTTCCTATCGAATTTTAAAAAAACCATTTCTCTGTGTAACCTACCTAACCTACCAGGGATCTGGGGATGTGAGTCTGTAATAATTCCATGAATCACAAGTTTGCCAATTAAATATTCTTGTCCCTGTTGACAGCCAATTGTCTCCATATTTGGACTCTTGTGGAGCGCTTCTCTGACATCGATTAATTCTTGGTGCAAAACAAAGTGTGAAAATGTGTTCATAAAAGTATATTGGCAATATCTAGATGAATGACCTGGAGAGTCATCGCGTCCATCACCTGCAACAATCAAATCTTTGCCATTTAGCAAACCAAATATCATGTCCTACATTTTCGCCCACCATTCTTCAAAGTTTAGTAAAGAATAGAGTCGGACTATTCTGTTAAAGGTGCTACAGGATAAGATCTTTAAGTTGAAGATGTATTGTCAATTATTGATAAGATCATTGCTACTTTGACAAAAAGTGAACCTGAAAAAATTACTGTGCAGGCAAGTTGAAAGTTGATGGCATAAACCTTGTTCACTTTAGTTGAAGAGTTCCACATGTTAGTTTGTCCAGTTTCACATGTGAACTGTACTTCAGTTACACTTTCGTTCATTTTGTGTTTCGTGACCTTTATTGCAAGTGCACACTCATACTTTTTAGCTGCTGGAAAGTGCAAATAAACTTTTTGTCAGCTACCAAATCCACATAACCTCGACATCCTTAGTTTCTAAATGACTTTTCATACCTATCTGGCAACTGCTCCTTCATTCTTGCATTTTCACCTTCTACAATTTGTCCAGGCTCATTTCTAGGTATGTCCAATCCATATCTGTCACATCATGGTTTGTCAATGTTGTGCTCACTCCACTTATTTCCATTGACTTGTTACACAGAAAAGTTAGATCTGGCATTGATCTCACTTGAGTCTGGCTCTGCTTCCTTTTCTCCAACAATCGACCTTTCCATTTCAAGGAAAGTCTTTTCATGTGCCTCGTCCTGGATGTGGTCAATCCAAAAATCGTCACCAACCCTTCATCAACTTCGTCAACAACCCAACAGCATCAACTTCTTGTAATATGCAACCATCTTCTCCATCTGATCCAAAATCAGAAAATGGTCTTCGAAACTGTCAGGTCTTCCTTTCAGATCAAGCTCAAGATCAAGATCAGGTCAGATCAAGCTCTTCCTTTGAAAATCTCTGAATGTCAATGTTGCGTTTCCAACATTTATGGTAGACCTTGTAGACCTAGATTCATTTGTCTCCAAACTGGAAACCCCACAGTTTTTTTGCAGTTCGGGTTCTAAAATCAAAATCATGGTTCTTTTGTTTGATTTGATGGACCAGAAAACATTAAAAAAGATATTGCTTATTTAATTTTATTTAATAAGATTATTTAACAAGGGTTGCAACTATAGAGATCTCTATGGAAGCATTGCAATAAAATATGGATGCTCTTCAAAGAAAGAGCCTCCCTTGCCAACTGGTCTCGGTGGTCACTGTTTTATTTATTTTTAGGGTAAGACGGGTAGGGAAACAAGCTTGGCTGTACAATCGGTCTGAAAAACTTGAATGGGAAAGAGCAAAAGATAGCATTGGAAGTGTTGGATAAACATCTATCTCTCAATAACCTCAAAGAAGATGAGCTCAAAGAACTTGGTCTATGGTCCCATCGAAACTGCTACAGTATTTTCTGTAATAAAGAGCATGTTAGCAGAGCAGAGAAATGTTAGTTATAAGCCAGAGAGACAAGCTGGTTGTAGAAGAGGAGAAGGGACTAAAGCCTCAAAATCCAAGCCACCATCTTTTGAGATCATCAATGTCGTCATCTTCATGGTCAGAGGCAGCTCGTAGTTTCATACATTGCCAGAA